GACTTCATCAGTCACCCTTACCTCATTCCTTCCATGTGCCAAAATAAAGAAACATATGTGTTCCAAGTGCCAAAATAAAGAAACTGGTATGTTTTAAAAGGTGGTTTTGCATTTAATAGTTTGTGAGCTACTTGAAAGAAATGCATGGGAGCCCAGTTGGCTTCAGATTTTCACCTAGTATTTTGTTGACATCGTTTCTGCTCACTTCTGTTGGTAAAGAAAGACTTAAGCTGACTCATGTGCAGTGTTCTTCTTTACCTTTCTAATCTTTTGGATATTTTGTTTGCATCAGGAGGTAATTTAATCCTGCATTCAGGGTGTGTAACTTTCAGAATCATCTTTCAGAATCATTATCAAACTGCATCACAGCACTGTTCACTCCTGCTGTTAAGGGGCAGATCATAGGTAAGATCACAGACACTGAGGGGGAGAATGCCATAGAAGTCATTGTGGACATCCCATTTTGGACATCCGGAATGGTTTTCGTTTTCATCTAGTAATCTCAAAGTGCTTTGGGTCCAAATGTGAATGAGCAAAGACCTCATCATCTTCAGTAGTTGATGAAACCTAGAGGCTGCCAGAAAAGAACGATCTGTAGCACAGTTTCCTCCCCCTTGGAGACTGGGAAAATGTTTGTAAAATAATATCATATAAACTAATTTTAAAAAAATATGATAACTAAAATAACTTTCTGGTGGCGTTAAAGAAGCAAAGTGGCATGAAGGATGGACGTGTAGGAACTTGGCAGCTCTAAAGCAGTAGAGTAGCTCTCAGTTGCATGTCTGTCTTCCTCACCACTCATTTCTTCTGGCTGCTGTTGCTAATTTGCTAGTGAGCTGGGCAGGCAGGTTGTTGCTGTTGGTATGTATGGTATTCTCACGCACAGTTTTGAAATTCGTGGTGGCTTTGGTGACCATGTCCTTTCCTCACCAGCTTTGGGCTTTGGCATGTTCAAGCACTTCTGTTGCCCAGGGCCAAAAGCAACCAGCGTTGTGCACAGCCTGCAAGTTGCTTTCTGTTCAGTTGCTTATTCTTTTTTTGTGGGGATTTCTTTTGTATTTTGTCCAAAAAAAAGCAGTCCACTGAACTGCATGTGCTGCCCAGAGTGTATTTGTGAACTGTTTGTGATGGCCAGACAAGAGCTGCCTGAGACAGAGCAGGGCCGCGCGCAGCTTGGCTTGCCGGGGAGAGCGCTCAGGGCCTCGAGTGCGCGTTGCAACTCGTGCCTGGTTGTCCTGGGAGCCGCCGGGTCTGGCCGGCCTGGGGCACGCGGGGATGTGGGGACACGGCCGCCCTCAGCCCCTGGCGCTGCGGGGCCTCCAGGAGAGCCGCATGGAGAGAGAAGGGGGAATCAGGAAAACACAGCTTCAGCCTCTTCACGCTTGTGATATAACTGCTGGGAAGTTGTATTTGCAACATGTAAGTAGTTAAACTGTTCTGGACCCTGTGGTTACTTTCACCAGCCTTTCTTAGGTGTACTTGGGAGATTATTTTGGGTTTAGCTGATCACAGGAAAGTGCTGCAGGAGTAGGATGACATTCCAGCCCCTTAGAAATGAGTTAGAGAAACAGAAAGGTTTGTGAGTGAGGTGGACAGCGGGAGGAATTCTCTTATGAGAAATCTTTCCAGTGCAATGAAAAGATTTGTCAAACCAAGGCCTCGCTCAGCTGTTAATGACCTCTTGGATAAACTAGCGTGGCTTGTGTTTCTTACTGCTGAGGAGGTGTATTGAAGGAAACCCATGCCATGAGGGTCCGTTAAGCTTTGTCCTATCAAAAACTGCCTGATCAAAACAGTTTCTGCTGAGATATGGAGGCTCTTCCAGTCCTGGAAATATTCAGATCCATTGCTTTGGCAGGCTGAGAAATAACAGAACTGAGGGCTCCTGTGCAGCAATTCCTCTGTCCAAATAAACTCGTTTTCACAACATTTTAATTCCCTTTTGTCCTTTGATCAATAATGTTGCAATGTTGCAGTGGGTAAGTATAGACTTAACCATTGTTTAACCTTTCATTACTCTGCCTAGTTTTTCAACCAGTGCAAACCAAAGAAAAATGACCTTAGAGCTCTGTTGACCTGAGTGTGAGCAGTTTCCTTCTGCCTTCCTCCCTCCCTCCAAAGGCTGCCACGAAGTCACTTATCAGGCTTTTAGGGCAAATTTTTCCTTTGTGGCTTTTAAATTTTTTGAGTGCAGCTGTGTTTTCATTTACTTGGAGAGGATGGAGGGTTTTTTTGCCCTGGGAACCATCTTTCTTCATTAAACTGAGCTTGATGACCAGCTTTTCTGCTATGTTGTGGTGAAGGAGCTTGTGATGAAGGTTATGTTTACTGTACTGTCTGTCATCTTATTCTTTGTTCTGCAGACCTTACCACATTGCTTATGTTTAAGAATCTTTAAAAAATCTGTTCATTATGCTTTATACACCTTTGAAAGGACTTTTTCCTCCAAACAGGATGAGGAAGAGATGGTGGATCCTAAAAGTGTTAGAATTTTGCCAGTTGAACAATACAGATTTACTCTTTGAAATAGATATCATTCCTCTTGAAATGTCCGTTTAGGTATACCAGGGCATTTGCCCTGAAGTTTTAATGTTTAATTAAATTCCACTTCTTAATTTGTTTTGCAGTCTTGTATAGTTGGAGACTAAGTATAAGCAGCTGGAACTGTTATTTAACTGAATTTTGTCATATGAACTGCTTGAGGAATATATTTGACTATATGAATACTCTGATGGGTGAGATCTCCCGCATTCCTCCTCTTTTCTGTACTTCCACTGTTAGCATTTTTACTGTAGAACACACAAACATACTCAGATGTGCCACGTGTGGTGAACACTTTTTGTGTCTTCTTTTAAAGCTGTTGTTGTCACGTGCAGCTCTATTAGTGGCCAGACTTTCACCATGAGCTCCAAAGACAGTAAACTCCTTTGTATCAAGTAGCCGACCAGGCAGAAAGTGAAGGACTGTACTAGGATGTTCATTTATGAGGGACTGACTCTGCCAAAAACTTAGGCATGAGCTTCTGCTGTCATTCTCTAGTAATGTATGGCAAAACCTTCTTTTTATTGTTAAGGCAATTATCAAGAATAGGGTATAGTGATGGGGAAGATAGTTCCTGAACTGCCCAGGGACATCACGCAAATATGGCAGGATTTTCATATTTAAATAGACTGAATAGGCCTCCGGACAGGCTGACGGGGTGTTCCTCGACTGCCAAACACAGCCTGCCTCTCCTATGGTGAAGTTTGTCTGGAAGTTGCAAGGAAGCGTAAGCTTTTTGTACAGGACATAAGCTCCTGGGCTCAAAGGGGGTTCCTGCACATAGGGGTGAATTCTTGATTTTTCAGGTCAAATTGGAACAATGTTGCTTCCCGATGGCTGAGTCCTGCAGGTGTGCTAGTACAGCACAGTACAGTCAGTTTTGCATCTAATCAAATACCATGTATTTCTAATATCCATTATGTGTATGATCTTATCCCCTATAAGACTTCAGAACATTTGGGTGAAATCAAGCTAAATAACAAGCACAAAAGCATCAGCTGAGATCAGATAGTTTTAGGCCTCAGAGTATGAAACTCCATTACAGGAGAGGCCCGGGACAGTGAGAGCTTCCTATGGTCCTGAATAATTATATTGGAGATTCCCAGCTAATCCTGCAGGTTATCCTCTGAACCATCCTCATGGGTGTGTAAACTACCATCTTTTCCTCCTCCTTCCCCCGCTGGGAGGCCTGTGGCAAACTGACCTGGAAAAGCTCCTCCCTACCAATTACCTGGCCACGGACACAACCCTGATTAAAGTCCATGGTCTGGTCAAAGTTGGATATGAGATTCAGGCTTTGCTTAGACAGTGATGGAGAGCAGAGAGGATATTTGGGACTGATACCAGAATTTCAGTGTTGTGTATGTGTGTGGGTGCTCCCATTACAGTATTTATAAACTTTGTCCTGCCTGTGATCCATGTTTGCTTATACACAGGGAAAGTGTATTTTAAACACATGATAGGGCTTAACTATTAGAAGCCATAATCTTCTAATAATGTAGTTTTAAGGTGACACTGAAAGAACATTACCTAAATCTTATTTTTGTTTCTGATCTCTCAGTTTTGCTGCTAATCACTGCGGCATTAGCTGCTCAAAACCTTGCTTTTTTTTCAAACAATTGGCAGCAAAAGATTTATTAAAGCTGTGTCCAAGTTGCTTTGTCCATCTCTGTGGTGTGAAACTGCTCTCTTCACCCTTAGGTATGAGTGTTAGGTGAAAGGCTGGGAATTAGGACCCCTCCTGGATTAGAGGGTTTTGCTTGGTTTGGGGTTTTTTGTTATTGTTGTTTTTTAATTCCCGAACCAGGTGCCTGTCACCTGCAAACCCTTGGCTTCAGTAACCTGTGAGGTCATCTCCATATCTCCACCTTTCTTTAAAATATCTTCTGACTTCTCATAACCTATATAGGGCAGCCTGGCAAATCTTTCTGGCATCTCTGCGCATCTCAGCTTGTCCATTCCCATTGTCAGCACAGACATGGACATTTTATGTTCCTTTTTTTGTGATGCCTTTACAAGTGCTTGCTTGTTTATTTGTTTGTTTCTCTTGCTTTCAACTCTGCAGTAAGGAGCCCATTGGAAACAAATAAAGGGAAAATACTTGCAGTTAGAAAATACTCTCTAGTAGTGAACCACTTTGCTTTAGGTTCATAGTCCTCTTATGATTGCAGTTCTCATCTCTTGGGTATTTAAGACCCTCGGGTGTATTTACGAGTTTGCCTCTGTCCCTATCTCTGTTGTCTTGCTCAAATAAGCTGCAGTCGACACAGTTGAACGGAGGTGAGTGCCCGTGTCAACAGGTCTGTCCGTATGAACAGATTCAGGCCCCCTGGCTGCGCAACGGGCCCAGCGCCAGTGCCTGGGTCTAAGGCAGGGCCGGGCGGGAGCTGAGGGCCTGCGAGGTGACAGCGGGGACTGAGGGCCGCGAGGTGACGAGAGGGGCTGAGGGCCGCAAGGCGATGGCAAGGGCTGAGAGCCGTGAGGCGACGGCGGGAGCTGAGGCCTGCGAGGCAATGGTGGGAGCTGAGGGCCGCGAGGCGACGGCGGGAGCTGCTCGTGGGGAGCCGCCGCCACCCCCAGCTCACACCAGCACCGGCCGCATCCTCAGCATGACCCGCATGTCGGCCGGGCCTGCCCGCCCACGCTTGGTAATGGCTGCAAGGTTTTTAATCTCTGCTATAGATGTCTGCTGCGCGACCTGGACTGCTGTTTTTACAGCTGTTGTCTATGAGTTTGCTCAGGGTTTTATTGATGGGCCAATTTTGCTTTGTTATCTGACCCACAGATTGGTTCTGTAACGCGGCGATGTTAGTTTCTGTGGAAATTGTGGTGCCCATTTGCTTAAAGCCTGATCCCAGTCTTTCTTTTCTTTGTTGTACTCTTTATCGACAGCAAAAATTATCAGTTCCAAACAGAAAGGCAAGCAATTTTTCATAAGACTATTAATTACCGAGTCCGGCCCTGCTTTTGCCCCTTGAACTGAAAGGTCCTGGCTTCGGAGTATCCATGTCTTGGTGCTAATGTGCCCCTCTCTTAGCCAAGAGGGAGCGCAGAGGCTTTGGAATTGCCAAGACCTCTCATGCGTAGTGTCACCCGCGGAGAATGCCGCTATTGTGTGCGTATCGCCGGCCTGCATCTGCTCACTTAACACAGTCCGCATTGTAACTCGTTCGCTAATAAAGAATTTAGCTCATATTACTTTACATCTGAGATCCCACTGTGGCTCCTAATATAGCAACATATCGGCTTTCAGGTTGCTTTGTTCTCTTTTGTTCGGATCCCAAATCTCCAGTAGGTTTCTTGGTACAAAATGATACTGTGGTAGAGACGGTATATTTCCCTTCCCCCCAGACTTATGTGTGGCATTTTCATCAAGTCTTTGAAAACTTAGGTTTTGTTTTGTTTTGTTTTTCATTTCATTTCATTTCATTTCATTTCATTTCATTTCATTTCATTTCATTTCATTTCATTTCATTTCATTTCATTTCATTTCATTTCATTTCATTTCATTTCATTTCATTTCATTTCATTTCCATTTCATTTCATTTTATTGAGTGTGTCTGATGCTCTTTGTCTTCCTTACTCTTGTGAAGTTGTGTTGTGTGTTTTGTTATCTAAGCATCCCAAGTGTCATTAATGATGATGATGCTTGGGCTGCCTTCCTTGCATTTTAGTTGATTTGTTTGTTCATGTATGTAGCAAATTACCTATTCTGTGAGAAACTGAGAAATTTCAAACCATTAAGAAAATGATATGAAAATAGATGGTGATGAGAAAAGTTATGCAATTAAATATTGCCTCTTTTTTTTTTTTTTTTTTTTTTTACTTTTTGGTATGATGGTGTCAAATTTGAAGAGTAAGGCAACCAAGCACAAATATAATTGTCATGCCTGAAAAGATACACTGGAAAGTTGGAGCAAGAAGGATGTATTGCCCCTTTTACCAGTTTTGTTTTCCACTCTCCAGTGTCCTGCACCTAAATAGCTGTATGAAAGTGAGAGATATGATGAGAGATACGAATGTGAGAGTCTGTTGGTTGGTCTGTTCTTTTCAATGGGAAAAGACTTTGTGCTTAGGTTTGGGGAGCACTATTTGATGCAGGAATGTTGCTCCTTACACACCGTAGTAAACTATTAAGACAGCTTAAGAGAACTCTGCTCCAAGCTGGGTGAGGATTCAGGCAATAACAGCCTCTGATAGGAAGTTCTGAAAAGAAGTCCTCTCCTGTGAGGCAGGCATTGAAGTGCTTCCCTGGAGCAGTGAGAGGCTTGGCATGCTGCAGGGGGTACAGCTTCACATCACTGATTCTCCAAATCCTTTCCCTGAATGAATGGATGTTTCAGTGATACCAAAACAGCAAAATAGTGGACTCAAAAGACAAGTACACAAGTGACTGAAGATGATGTTTCCACGTAAAAGAGTCAGTGCTGTGTATACAGAACACCGGTGTTTATAGACATTCCTCCTTAGTATAGAATATTTAATATTTTGCCACTTCACATTAGCAGGAGAAGGGAAAAGTCAATGAGCTTTACACGCTGAAAGGGAGTTTGAGCTCTGAAGATGTTTATGCTGTCTCGGGATGATGCTCTGCAGCAGCAGAGAGATGGAGTACAAAAGGTAGCCAAGCCAGGGCTGGGGAAGCAAATGTTTTAAGGATGCTGCATGGCTGGAAAATCTGTTCAGTTAGAGGCCTGCTACGCTGAGAGATCCACCACCATGACCTCTCTCTGGTGTCAGGAGGGAGAATGCAGACAATCCAGAACCAAGATTTTGAAGTTCTGGTTCTATCCATCCTCTCGTCTCTGCAGACTGACAGAAGCTCATTTTGGCTGGAACCACCCAGAGGAGGACATTTGGGAGCGTTACTGGGTGCTCTGGGAACTCTCTCCTTTGAGGTGGAGCTCACAGAGCACCGAGCTCTTCCTTCCTCCCCTGCGGCCAGGGCGCTGGAGCAGCTCGTGGGGCTCTTACTGTGGTCATTCTGTTCTGTGCAGAGCAGAACTTAGAAGTTGGCCAAGGTGGGGAGAAAAAATACTGTCTAAAACACTGTCCTCTAAATTATTGGAGCTGTGTAACCACATCAGTTAGCTGGTCTTGGAATGTCAGGAACAGTTTTTAGGGGGGTTTATGTAGCACCTTTAGGATCACTGAATTAACAATTAAAATATATTTTTTCAATCTAATTAAAGATGTAAAAAAGCTCCATAGATTTTCTCTTACAACAATTTTCCAAGCAAAAATCTTATATATGTCTGTGTTTGTGTGTGTATATATATACATGCATATATATATAATTATTGTTATTTTTGCTAAGCCACAGAATTGAATACTTCATTCTTAGTTAATATACTAGAAAAATATTTACTTGGAGACATGATTCATTCTGACTAATAGGCCCAAGCTAATTCAGACCAAAGCTGGAATAAAGAAAAAAACTTTTTTTTTTTTTTTAAGAATAGCATAGTCCCCTGTGTGATATTAAGATATGGCAGAACTATATCTGAGCTTAGGCTGCCCCATTCAGCCAGCACAATTTACCTCCCGCGTTTCTGTAGCCGGTGGCTCGTGAGGGGCCGTGTCCAGGCCGCTTGCTGGCCCCATGGCACGGCTGCTGCAGGTGACTTCCAGGTAGCCCAGGGCAGACCAGGACTCCAAGGCTGGGTTTAAACTCGATTCCTCAGGAGAAGCTGTTAAGAAACCGAGGGGAGGCACAGGCAGGGGATGGGAGGTCTGCCCTGCGCCCAGTGCCGGCTTCCCGAGACCTTCCTCCAGGTCGGCCTCCCTGGGGCTGCTTCAACAACCGGCCAGTTCAAATGAGGAGAAGGGTTTCCTACTGTCATGCTTTCAGGTACTTCTAGCTACAGGCTTTGGGTTTGAGAGTAACAAACGCATTTGTCCTTTGGTGACCAGAAAGAAAACTTATTTTTCCCCTGCAAGTGTATGAAGGGAAATTCCTGTTTTAAAATGAGATGCCTCCAAAATGGGCTGTAGGCTGTGCTGACATCTGCCGGAGCGCAGGAAAACAGCGGACGTCCGACGTGTGTTGACGCTGGAGTGCTTCCAGCAGGAATATGCCAAAAATGGGGAATATTGTGGTGTTCTCTGGAGGCTGAGGACTTTACATGTTGCCCGCAAAGGAAGCCAGGTGCTTGCATCAAAGTATTTCTGTGGTAGCAGTTGTAAGGGAATACTTAAGAGCTGGATAAGCTCAGCTGAAGTAGCCCTAAGCAGTCTTAACGATGGTAGCTATGTGCAATGTAATTTCTTCCTGATATATCTGTTGGTAGACTCAAAAGTTGAAAGGAAGTACAACATGCTAAGCTGAATACTTTGGTAACTGATATTATGGTTCCAGCACCCTTTACAGTAAATACTTTTTTCTTATTCCCTCACTCAGGGACGTGCCTCATTAACGGCTGAGAAAGAACATTTTGCCCAGGAACATGCTGAAATGAAAAATCTAGAAGATATTGTTAGAGATATAAAGCCATCCGTACTAATAGGTAATTTCTTTTACTTTAAAGCAGTGACCTTATTCTTTGAAAAAAAAATGGGGATGTGGTTTTGTTTGGAGGCCAGATCAGGTTGCTCTGAACAGAGTTTACCTTGTTGTCTCAGAAAACTGTAATCACGATTCCGAGCAAACTGAGCAAACAGGAGTTACCCCGGTGTGGAGCAGAGCTTTCATTCCCAAGCCTCCATTGCACGGGTGGAATGATCCAAGGTGGTGTAGACATCTCAAGGAGCACCTATCACTTCGCTGAATTACTTCTGATTCGATGTGAGCGCTGTAATAGAAGGCACCTCGACACGGCCGGACGTGATCACTGGCACCCGTAAAGGGTGCGGAGGGCTCGGTGGTGCCAACGGGCCTGAGAGCTGAGCCGGCCTGGGGGAGCTCTGAGCTGCGGCGCTGGCTGCAGCAGCAGCTGCCTGCTTGGACGCTTCATGCTGCAAGACTGGCATTCAATCCCTGTGCAAAGCCTTCCTAAATAAGGACAGGATGGAGAATAGAGAGGCATCGTTTTTAATCTCTGGTGGGGCAGGAAGGGGCGTATTTGGAAAGACTGTCCTCTCAGGGAAGCCTCTCAAACCCAGAACATCTCTCTGGGATTGTCCATTAGTGGGGCTGGAGAGGGCAATGATAGTGAGCTGCGGGAGACAGACATTATTTCCTCCTCGTGTCAGTAGAAATGGAAACCAGGCACCCTAGATTTGAGAGAAGCAATCCGGTCTGTTGTGTGAGACTTGAGGAGACAGCCCTGCACTTGTCTGCCCTGACCAGATTTACCTGGGAGCTAGATGATATACAGCTATTTTATGGAAAGGGCCTCACAGAAGTGGAGCGCAGACCTCAGCCAACCTCACAGGGAGGTGCAGGCGCTGCCTTACGCCAGGGACGACGCGTAGGCATCACCGTTGCAAGAACCAGCATCATCAGAAGCACCGCGGGGCTGGCGGTGCCTGGATGGCTCCGGTCCCAGCGGCTGCGGGAGAGCATCGCCCCTCGGCCCTCGTCAGCCTCCTGCCTCCTTACATGTGGGCTGGTGCTCCCTGGTTTTGTGCACGCCTTGTGCTGAGACCTGTGGGAGGCATCTGAAGGACCTGGGCTCAGCTCAGAGATGATCCTTTATGCCCTTTCTAAAACAGCATGATGTGGCACTTCACTGGTACAAAGTATTTTATGAATTGACACATAACTCTACCTGCATGCATGTAACTCACACTGCTTTAGATGTAGCACTGCCTGAAAACAGCACCTTCCAATAATTCATGCCAAATGCCATGCAAAATGAAAAGCTGAGGGAGGAAGGACACGGTGTGCTGAGGGGAGGCCCTTGGAGGACAGACCTTGCAAAGGCGGCTCTGGGCTGCGGCCCCGCTGCGCTCGCTGCACTCCGGGACACGCGCTGCGGCTGCTGCATCACAGCTGTTGTTCTTGCACGTAATCCCAGGGGTAGACATACAGGGGAAAAATGCCAGCAATTTATAGCGCTTGAAGAAGCAAATCTTTTTTGCAGAAGGTTTTTTTAAACACTGCTAGAAGTTGAACTGCATTTTGAAAGGGAAGGTTTGCAGGAAAAGAAGCCGTTCTTTTAAAAGGGACATGCATGAGTTAGCTGGAACAAATTGCATGTGTTTGCTTGTTACATGTGTCTTTTTCTTATTTAGGAGTTGCTGCAGTTGGTGGTGCTTTTACCAAACAAATTCTTGAGGATATGGCTGCTTTCAACGAACGCCCCATTATTTTTGCTCTCAGCAATCCTACGAGCAAGGCGGAGTGCACTGCCGAGCAGTGCTACAAGTATACGGAGGTAATGGATGCTCAACATCTGCCCGGGACACGGGGGCAAAGCACAGTGTGAAGTCAATTTAACATGGGATAAAGATGGAGGATGGAAGAGCAAGTACTAACTGTGTTTCTGTGCCTGTATAAAAATGAGTTAAATTAAATAGCAGGATTTTATGATTCTGTCAAGACACAGTTCACTGAAGTCAATAGATGCCTGAACCTTCTTACATTTTAATGGCTTTTATAGAATGCAAGTCAAGATTTGCAGTTCTTTATTATAACGGAGGCATCGGTAATTGTCAATCATTAAAGCCTTACGGCTGTTTTTGAGTTGTACCATTCTGTATAATATAAATGCCCAGTGGCATGCTTTTCCTTAGAGATTTTATAAATACATTGTAGGATAAGAAAATGCCTTGGTATGGGAAATAGAATTTTTAAAATAATTATTATGAATTATGAAATTTTGTAAAGATTTCTGTTACTGAAACCGAGGTGAAAATTAAGTGAACTGTGTTGCTTATTTAACGTGTTTCATAATTATACACCGAAGGGCCAGTAAGCACATTCTCTTGTAATTCAGTCTAAAATGTGCTCTGTATGGGTAGTTCATTCTGTGCATTTTATTGTGTGGATTTCTTGTCAAGGACAGGGCCGTTAGCAGGGCAGTTCCCCAGTGTCCAGAAGACAGATTTAGCTGCCCATGCCCCACGGAGAAGGTCACAATTACAGTGCGACGCAGGAATCAGGGAAGCAGCTCCATAAAGGGCTGGATATAATGGGAAACTACATCTGGGAAGCGGAGCAAAAGGCACACTGCAGTATTTGATCTGCCACCGAAGTGTATAATAAGCAGGCCATGATAATGCTGCCTGGCACCAAACTAAACAAAATACTCTTTGAAGGGCTGCATAGGAACAGTTGTGTATTTAAAATGCACGTTTTCAGATCCCTAAAATAGGCATGGATATTTCTCATACAAAGCATTTCTTAAGTCTTTAACAGCAACATTTATCACTTTAGCAGTGTTTGCATAGAGAGGACCGGCTCCTCAAGAGCCTCTCTTCTCCACCTGAATTTACTGCCTAAATTCTAGGGTACTGCCTCGTCAGCAAATCCTTTGGGCCTGTGAAAAGCCACTTGCCTTATTCGTCTAAATCTGCAGTTGCCGGATTGGAAGTTACTTCCCTCTCCCAAGATGCCAGGAGTGACCTAGGGCCGAGAGGAGCAGAGGAGCTGCCCGTGGTGGGTCCCTGCCCATGGGGCCTCCCTGCCCGCGGGCGCTTTTGTGGAAGATCCCCCCATTGCGCTGGGAAGAATTCCAGCAGTGCTGCCCATCCTGGGCACAGCAGTGTTGTCCCCTGGGAGCTGTGCAACTGCTGCTGTTGTCTGTGTAGCTTCTTCCCACGTCCCATTCTCCTGTGTGGAAGTACAAAATGAATAATTAACGCTGGCTCCTGCTTTTCTGCCTTCTAAATTACGCTAATATCCACCTTTCCTGAACAAGGCAAGTGGTTCCTCTTGATAGTTGTTCAGTCAAAGAGCAGAGGAAGCTGAAAACAGCTGCCACCTCCAGCTTCCACAGCGGCAGGTCTTTGAAAGGGTGTCCTAAGTGTGTCAGCAGCTTCTCCCAACTCCCCTCCATCTCCTGCTCTGCTCTTACCGTTTAGGGACGTGGCGTTTTTGCCAGTGGAAGTCCTTTCGATCCCGTCACTCTTCCAAGTGGACGAACTCTCTATCCTGGACAGGGCAACAATTCCTACGTGTTCCCAGGAGTTGCCCTTGGCGTCGTTGCGTGTGGACTGAGACATATCGACGAGGAGGTGTTCCTCACAACTGCTGAGGTACTGTATTAAAAATTACTTAAATTCCTTAATTTGGTAACTGGGTAATAATGAACAATAAAACAGAAATAGCCAAACATTTTTAAATCAGAAAAAAATATTGTTTTCTCCATTTGAGATCTTTATTTGAAAGGTATGTTGTTTTTTGTAAGCTTTTGAACAAGTTATTTTTAAATAGTTAATATGTGGCTGCAAGGACATTTGATATAAGCTTTACCTTCTGCTAGAAAGGAGAGAGAGAGAAAGGAAGACTTCAGTACTGCACTAACACGTGCATGCAGGCACATGAAGTTTGAAGGAAACTATAACCCGAAGCTAGTAGCTTTGGGGTAACATTTGGGCATCTTTGCTTACAAATGTTATTTGCATTTCTTTATGCTTTCAGCTATTTTTGAGGAGATGGCATCATGTTTCTTGAAGACGTTCCTTGCCAGCAGCTGGTAAAAATGCTGCATTACTCAGTGGTTCCTTGCACTATAATTTGATATAATGGCCATGCCATTCTTCCCATTTTATTTCCTATTCCTGTCTGCAATGGTTCTTTTCTTTCCAAACACAATTTTTTCATGATGTGAGTTCTGATGCTGTCTGTCTTTGCTCTCTCCTCCTTTATCTGCACTCAGCGGGCAGAGGGATGAACCAAGAGGAAGCACATTTGGTCCTGGGGAGTCACATTTACTTCCAGTCATTTTTCTAAATCTGACACCCGCTCCTTTTCAGTATGATACCACATGTGCACAGGATTTTATCTTCAACACCTGCTGGAGAGGAATCTAGGCTTTGTCATTCAGAAGCCCATATTCAAGCAAAATAAATCAATAGCTGTGGTTAAAATTGAATGTATCCAACTCTTTTTTTTTCTTACAAAACTCCACCTGAACGGTGGAGTGAGATCCATTTCTCACTTAAGAAAGTCGGCAGGCTCTGTGCTCTTCTGGGTGCAGCATCTTTGCTCCCTGCCTGCTGTCGTCCCATTGCACCGTTGCCTCTCCGTCCTCCTGGCCCCGTCCTGCCCTGCACTTCCTCTCTCTTCCTTTTCTCATCAGAAAGCCCTGAGCAGGGCCAGGGGGATTGACTGTGTCCATGCAAGGTCATTAAAAACTGGATTCCCATTGCTTTACTTAAGGAAGAAGGCAATGAGGGAGGTCAGTCTCAGTTATACTGAGTTTAATTAACTTAAACTCATTTCTCTGGTGATTCCTACCCAGTACAATTTATAACAGCTTGCAGTCCACAGAGCTTCTCAGGAGTGCAGGTTCCTAATCCCAAAGGCAGCCGACCAAGTGTGCTTGACAATACGTGGGCAGTGTTGCTTGCATATAGAAGAAGCCTAAACCTCAGCTGGATTTCTGAGTTTCCTTACTGTGTGCACAGTGACATCTTTAAAAAAGTTTGCCAGCACTTGCCCTCTCTGAGCAAATTACATTTGCAATTTCCATCTGTAAAATTAGTAGAAAGTCCAGACTGTCTCCATGGGCTCCAACCATCTTAGGAGGGCAGTGATCCATCTCGTAAGTTTTTGGGTAATTATAACCTGCTGTTTCGATCTTCCCCTGTAATTTCAGTTGGATAGGGTGTTCCTCGCCTGCTGGCCTAAGCTGCTGTGTTAAACAGCTGTCTGTCTTCATTCTACAAGTTGCTTCATTTCGGTGTGGGTGAAATGGGTCCTATATAACGGCAGGCTTTGGACTGCAGATGGATGGATGAAAGGTGACACCTGAAGTATGTTTGGAGTGGTAGGATGCAAAGTCAGCCAAAAATCCACTATGAACAAAGCCGAGAGCCAAGGGACAGCTCTGCGCGGTGCTCCTGGAGTTAAGCAGATTCACACAGGTCCCCAGCTCTGGTAGAGGACTCACCACGTCTGGCTCTTGAGTGAGCCAGAGCAAGGAGCAAACCGATGGATTGCAAAGAAGTCTGGGCCAGAAAAGGTACCAGGAATGTGAAAGGCAGCAGAGCTTAGGCCTTTAGCTGAAATTACAGTGCAAGGCAAAAGTGCTTTTCTTTTTCTGTTTTTTTTTAATGGGACGATAAAAGGAAGGTAATGTGACATCATTCTTAGAGAAGTTGTCTGGGTTCGCCATTCGAAATGGAAAGTGCCCAAGCGGCTGCAAAACTTAAAACACCCCAAAATATGCTTGTTAAATAAAGGGACCTTCTTATTTTATGATGGTAACATATCAGAAAAGTATATATAAAAAAGGCAGCTCAGGCTGCTTGCCTGCAGATCCTAAATTCTCACTTTGCCATCTCTCAAATTAAATCTGATAAAAGTCACAATTAGGTTATTGTAACTACAAGAGATTTTAGTTTCAAGTGTTTTTTTCTTCATGTCAAGGGAAA